CCAGCTCGGGGTTAATGAAGTGGGAAAGGAGTCTTTCAGAGAGGCCTGCAAACAACCCCCCTCCCCGGGCAGCAAACCCCCGTCCCAAATCCTACATGGATTGACTTAAACCCAGGGGATAAGTGCTTTAAATTAATCTCATTGAATAAGAATGAGGCCAAACAAAACTCTTTAAAATCATATTAAAAATCTATCAAAGGACAACTTGCAGTGGGTGTGCTTTTCATTTGGTGAGCGCAAAGGCAAGGAGCACACAGCAACCTTCCTCCCATTTACACAAAAATGTGAATCAAAGACATTCTCTGATATTTAATTGTCCTTGTAGCCGAAGCAGATTCCTCCTCTTACATTAATGAAGTACAAGGCTTCGTTACACGTTTGTAATTGCAATATTTAAATTTGCCATTTCGCATCTGGAAGGAGCTGAAAACTCCCCTGTAACAGCGGGTCTGAGCCAGCACCGTAACACAGCGACGAGGTCCGGTTTGTGTTCCAAGGAGGGTAGGAGAGAGCCGGGCAGAGCCCCGAGGAAACCTCTGCTCCGGGAATGGGGAATGGCCATGACGGGTCTGGCTGGGAAGGAAAGGGAGCAGAGGGAAAGCGAGAGCTGGAGCCATCTCCTCCAGCGAGATCTCAAAGCAGAGTCAAGCAAGGCAAGCTTGAAAATAAATCAGTTTAGGGAAGACACCATGCGCTGTAGGCTCTCGTCAGAGAGCACCGCGTTTGCCACATGAACAGCATCTTGCGCCGGAGGATCTCAGCGGCCTCAAAAGCTGCTGAAGGACCAGCCTCGCCTCCAGCTTGTGTGCAGGGACTGGGCCGGGACCCCGCTCTCCAACAGCAGAACCCATCAGCACTGGTCCTGCACCCACAGCAGCCCCTGACCAGGCTGGAAACTCAACTCGTTTCCAGAAGCCGGTGCCAGGCAGGCATGATCCCAGCAAGTCCTCAGGGGTGGGACGGGCTGTGCTGCGTTGAAATTAGATGAAGCAGCAGAAACGGCACAGTTGAGAAGCACCACCAGCGCCGTTAAGTAAACCTTTGGAGCAAATCTGCTCCACCGATTTCTCCCCGGGTACAGAGACTCCAACAGACAGGCTGCTGGTGGTTGGTTTCTGTCAGGTCCAGGCTTTGGATCCAAGACGCAAACCAGTTAGTGCACTGGGTTTGCCAGGAGCAAACACAACCCTGGCTCTCAAGCCCCTTCTGGGCTTTTACCCAGGTTGAGGGCAATCTTCCTCCCCTCCTGACACAGCTTTAACCAGGACCACCACCCTGGGAACAGACAAAGAATGGAAGCTGCTCCCCTGAACATGCCAACACACACAAATTCAATGAAATCTGCAGAATTATTTCTAGCCGAGACATTTTATGGTTTCACCTGAACACCAAACAAAATTATACCAGAGTGGAAAGCCCAGAACCATCAGTGCTTTTCCTGCCCTCTCCCCAGGCTTATGGGGAAAATAAGTTGTAAACAGGGAAGTCGTGTTGCTTTCTATCCTGCTTAGTTACGGGTGCTTCTCAGCAGTGGGGTACCAGTGCTGAGATGTCTTGTGTTTGACCCAGATGCCGAAAGCTGGTGCTCAACTGTGACCCTTCTCCCAAGGTGACCTCCTCCTTTTTTCCTATCCCAAAGCCCTGATGTGTAAACTCAAGATGTTCCAGCTGCAGAGGAGAGGAAGATGTGGGCTCTCACTACTCACAAAGGACACAGAGCCAGCAGAGAGTTGAGAAAAGGTACAAGAGCGTCTCCTGGGAGAGACAGGACTCTGGGTGTGAGAGCAGGGAGCGGAGGAGCAGCAAGGAAGGCAAAACCAAACTGAGTCCAGGTCTGACTGACAGGCACCTTTATATAAAAGCTCCACAGTGACATTATTTCCAGACCAAACACAGAAACTTCAAACTGCGGTGCAGCAAGGCCCCTACCATTCACCACAATTAAGACGAGAAAGCAAACCTGACCAAAGCTGACGCCGGTGCAGTCAAACAAAGCTGCGGTTTCACCAAATACTGCCAAGAGCTGACCTCCCTGCCCTTAAGAGCTGCACAGGCAGCTCCCACCCAGCCAAGACCCCTGCAACACATGCCACGTACCTCACAGCAAGAGGGGACAAAATTCAGGAGCAGTTCATGGCAACATCCACCTGCTCCGTGCCAGGGCTGTGCCAGGGGAACCCGCCATGACCCCCAGCAGCTCCTCCAGCATTCGAGTGCTCAGAGGACCCGGGAGCCTCTGCACCCACACCACCTCCTTCCTGCCACAGCTGATGGAGCTCTGCAGCTCGGCCACCCCTTCTCCACAGCAAGTACCACACCCTGCCCTGCCTTGATGGAGAGATGCTTTGAGTTGAGTACAAATTAACTCCAAACCTACCCGGTTCTTCCTGAATTGAGTGATGCACAAGCATAAAGCCAGCTCAGAGCCGATCTAGATCTGCCAGAGTGTAAATAAGGGCAGAATTTGGTTCCTGCTGGCCCACCTACAATCCAAACATATTTTACACATCAACCTTTGAGTTTCTTAAGAGCAAACTTGGCTTAGCATCAGGTGTGTGTGCATTTCTTTTAACACTTTCTTGTTTAACAATCTCCTCCTCTTCCTCTCCCTAATCACACAAGTAATCCAGCACTATCTGCTAAAAGATGGTGAAGCTGAAAGAAAAAGGCATTCTATTTTTTTTAAAAATCACATTATTCATCATAACCATTTGTGACGTTACGTGCCCAGTTAATACAGGCGGCTATGAGATTTCCTGACGCCTCTTACCGACGTGCTGTTGGCCTTTATTCCCACTATTATGAATTTGCCAATAGTCCCTAGTAACGTGACAGTCAGCCAGGAGAAGGTCATCTATTTTCCCCTCATGCACAAGATCAGCTCTTCCCAAACTTAGACTCTCTGCATCACTCACTCTGAGTCATTTTCATCCTCAGGGGTTTCTTTTAAGTTGACATTTGCCTTAAACCTGATCGCTCTTCCAAACAGTACTCATAATAAAATCAGGTGCGCTTTGTTATTTTATCTAATAACCTAATCTAATAAATGCTAGTCACTTCATTCTCTCTGCAAAAACATGGTTAATTTTATACCGGAGCCTTTTTAAGATCTTTCTGAAGTGTTCAAAAAAGTATTGCAGTAAAATCGGCGTGTTTGTTAATTGCCTGGGAGGAAAAAAAAGATAATTTTGGTTCTCAAAAGTTACATTCACTTCAGAAATTAAATACTTTTGGGCTGATTGCTTCCCTCCTACAATCCTTAGTATGACTCACTATAGCCCAAAGTAGGTGCCCTCTATAATTCTGTATTCACAAAGTGGGCATCATTTTCATCTGGTTATACTCCTTTTCCAGTACTTTTTCCCTTCTGGCACCTGAAATTGCCGTTGGATTTGAGCACTTTCTGTTCCTGCGTTAAATGCCACGCCTGGCTTGGGTCACGGGTGGGCTGCTCTTCCTCATCTCCTTCCTCAAGGAAGACACATGCAGGGGTGTTTTGCCAGGGTTTGGCACCGTTTGCACGTGTAGTGCTTGGTGTTTGTTATAGGAGGTGCTGGAAGAAGCACAGTGAGGAAGACAGGGAGAGGGAGGTGGGTGCTCACCTGTAGGTCCTGGGGGAGTTTGTAAGTCTCCTGCAGGCCTTGGGGAGCACCCGCTCTCCCCCACACCTCACCAACTCAAAGGGGAGCTTTGTCACGGACTTCACTAGAGCTCGAGTCCCATTTCACACGCTGGGCAATGGTGAACGAGCGCTGGCCTTGGCACACTTGGGGCCATACTGCATCCCTTCTCTTGGTAGTCCTAATTCTCTGATGATAAGCGAGAACAAGAAAAAAGGCAAATGGGAAAAGCAAGAAGTGAAATCCATTAGCTTGGGATGTACTCAAAACAGGCCTAGCCAAAGCAGAGAGAACCCCAAAAGCCAGGGTCGCTAGCGGCAAGTGTTAGCAAGAGCCTGCAAAGGCTTTAATGTTCAGAGAGGTGAGACATTTCGTATATACTCCGTGTTAGATAATTAGGTATGACAATACGCTGCAGGCAAGGAGAAGTTTGGAGATTGCTGGATTCCACGCTGGCTCCTTCCCACAGTGACAATGTTTGTTCCCAAACTCAGGAGTTTTGACACGAAGTTTTGTGCCCATGAGCTCTGCCCCAAAGGGACCATGTGTCACCGCACTGAAGGGTTCTCCACAGTCCTACCCTTTGCACTGAAACGGGGGAGACTCCTTACAGGCAGCAGTATCTGACTAACGATCAGCGCCCAGGGATAGACCTTGCCCTGGCGCACAAAGGACAGGAGAAGAGGTGGCAGCAACGTGGCTACGTTCCCTGAGACAGGAGCAGAAGTGCCCCCCTGTACAACGATAGGGGAAAGGGCAGCCTCCCCTCTCCTCTTAAACAGGCTCCCGGAACACCTCCTCTGCCACTACTGTTTACCTGGTTAAAAATAAACAAGCAAACAGACTGTGGAGTGCTTCTACAGGTCTTTTAAACAGGAAAGCATCTCCTGTCTGAGTATACTTGTCTTACTTTCATGTTATGTAGACATCACATTTCTCTGAAAACCGTATTTAACCTTTTTTATTTTTCTTGCAAAAACCACCTTAGAAACACGGTGCATCTTCAGTAAGCCACATTTAATTGCAGCAGTGCAACAGGACATGCCTGGATTTGATTCCATTTGGACCTATGGAATGAATGGGAGGAGGCCAAGATCCCCAAGATCCCTCCCATATTTGCCTGATAAACTGAAACACTCCTCAGTAGATTTGGCAGGTCACCCTGACCCCCGGCTGAGGCACTCAAGCAGGTTTTGCAGCCAATGACTGGAAGGTCCTGGCTTATGTTGGAATCTGCTGGTTGCCAGGTTTTCTCCGTTTTTTCTTCTTCTTGACCTTGGATACACCAGTGTCCATCCCACTGGAATATTCAGATCGCAAGATCTCAGCAAGGCGATGTTTGCCGTGGGTCTTCTTGAGAAGGTCAGACCTGGGCAGAGGGAAGAGAAGAGGAATTAGATTTCTTTCTCTCTGAAATGCTGCTAGGTGGGTTACTTATTTTACAGCCGTGGAAAGTGACATTTGCGCATTAGCAGAAGAACAGCTTCCTTTTCTTGAGGCTCGATTTGAAATTCTGTCTCACGCAAAATTAGATATTGTTGTGACAGGCTTTCACAAAGGTGGCAAAATATCATGCCGTTTTTAAAAGCAAGCCTTTGTTCTGTACAAATGCTCTTGCAGGGGTGGCGGGGAGAAGGAGGGAAGGTTGTACGCTGAAGGCTGATGAATTAGGTGACACAGCAGTTTGAAAATTTTAATAATAATAAAAAAACCCCTAACAGCCTTAAGACACTGAACAATGGAAACATTTTATAAACAGAGCTTAAATCCAGAGCCCGAAAACACAAAAAACCCAAACAAACAATTAAAATAAAGAAGTCAGGAGTCAAAACCCAACGGACTCTTTTCTTGCAGTGTCCTGCAGACATCACGCACCTTACAGCCTCCCTCTCCAGAGACTGGCTTTTGCAAAGGTAGCTGCGTTCTGCCCAGCCACTGAACTCCAACATGGATCTCCCTGTAGCCCTAAACTGCCAGCTATAAATACAAAAACCGACTCGGCATTTTTCCACCACAAGTTCTGCCACTGTCCTGCTCTATAACCTTGGGCAAATCTCATCCTCATCGCTGCCACCACCCTCGCTTATTTAAACTGCAATCTCTTCAGCGCAGGACCAGTCATTCCCTACCACATTCCCATGGTCCTGGGCACAAGAGGGTACCCACAGCTATTGGTGTCTACACATCCCGCTCTCCTCTTTATAATAAGGACCGGTAACAGAGCTCAAAAATTTCCAGAGAAGTGAACAGAAATCTGTCCCTCTAAATACGAGGGAATTGAACAGAAGCCCCACATCCATGCCAGCCTGCATTTATGACAATACATAGACCTCAGCAGTCCTAAAGGTTGAGGCCTTCTAGCACTGCCTCTCATAGTTCCTTCAGGTGTCCAGAACCATGCTGGGGATGGATCACAGGAGAAAGAAGCATTTTTGGCTGCAGCAACAAATCAATCCATTCATTAGGCCAAACACACAAAGGCCACAAGGGAAGCACACTCTTGGCTGTCTGGGGTATTTGCTTGACCTCTTTTCCACAGCTTGTTTTCTAGCCCTGTGTAGCTTTCATGGCTGGAGTGGGTTTGGAAGGATGGAGCAGAATAAGAAGGATGGTGCGATGATTACCACTGAAAGAGTTTTCCCCAGAAGAGAAAGCCTGGAATACACAGGCGAGAAGACTCTGCTACCCTCGGTGTAGTCTTCTTACTCACACTAATTAAACATTCAAGCTCCGCGCTGGCAGAAGGGCTAGAGACCGGACATACCAGAGAAATAAGATGTACAGTCACCACCCGGTTTGAACCCACAGAAACCAAGACAAAAAGACAGAATCAACTTGAAACTGACTGCCGAGCTAACGAAGCAAACGTGCTGTGGGTAAAGCCGTACTTGCAGTACCTCCACAGCGGACATACCTTGTCAAACTGCCTTCCTGAATGCACAAGCCACAGCAGCACGGAGGGATGCCTGTGGGTGCACACATGGTGCCAGGCCCAAGGTGTGCCCTCAGCCAGCCCAGCTCTGTTTTGAAAACCTTGTACTGGAGCTGTACCCTCTGCTCAGCCCCCTCCATCACTAGATAAAGTTTCTGTTTGACACTGTCATTGTGTCTCCAAGCATTTACTACAGTAATTCGAGGGTTACCAAGCAACAGATCAGTTTACTTAACAACAGGGAACTATCTGCTGCAAAAGGACAAGTAATCCACCAGTAGCTGCCGGGCTGAGTTTCAGCCCAGCAGGGAGGTTGTCCAACACTTTATTATCAATCAGGTGAAATCATTGCCCAATTAGTAAATCAATACCCCCTGCTGTGGTGATCAGCTGTACACAGAAAAACAAGGATGCAGGGAAAAAGGAGGTTTTTCCCCCTAGCCAGGGCCACAAAAATCAATGGAGCTGTGCTGTGGAACCTGCACTGATCACCGAGAGAAGAAAAGCAGCTGTCAAGGCCCTGTTTAACCACGAGATGGAAGAGCCACAGGCAACAGAATAGTCTGCAGTGACAGCACACCAGGTCAGGGTCCCTGACCAGATTCTGATTCCTGTTGTAAACCTGTAAACTCCTCTCCTCTGCTCAACTGGTGAAAGTCTCTGGGGCTCTGCCAGAGCAGTCAGGATAACATCGGCGAGGAAAGGTGCCCTGTGGTTATGAGAAAAAGCCCAGGAGAACAGAATGAGACCTTGATAGTCAACCTCTGAGCATCCCTGGGCAAGGTATTTAATCTCTTTGGCCTTCACGTCCATTCTCCCACCTCATAACCCGGGATGACTGCATTTTCCCTGTTGCCCAAGGCTGGTGTGATGTTAATTTAAGAGAGCTGTGTGCTGATACTGGATACTGTGGCAAAAAGCTTCACAGAAAGGCTGTAAATGTAAGATGCATTTGCAACACAGACAGAACCCATGTTCCCATCACTGGATAAACACATGGATTGTCAGCATCTCTTTCTGTGATCTCTATAGTGTCTAGATATCACGCTATATTGAGCTCTAATGAGAATACATCATGTTGATAATGGGCAGAGAAATCCCCAGCCCTTCAAATCCCTCCCTCCAAACAACAGTCGGTCTTTAGGTGGGGAACTACAAAACAGTGCAGCTAAGGGGAACTTGCAGGGGAAAAAAGATTCACTAATAACTGACCCATCCCAATGTGCCACAGCGCCAAGATTTCAGCAGGGCTTAAAGGAGAAAGGAACGTTCTAACAGATGAGAAAATAGCCACTTTTATTAGCTGGGGGAAAATGAGACAGGAATAGAGAAGTCATAACTCAGAAAATGAAACAGCCCCAACACGTGAGTTAGGAAGAATCTGTCCCTGAACACAAGCTGTTTGGCTTCTCTGTGTTACTGTCCAGCACACTGGGTGCTGAGTGCTGTGACATATTGGATGCCAGGCAGAAGCACCGCTGGACTACTACTCTTTCACGCTAGATATGGGGTATCAGGACTCCCCTAAAAGACAGATGGGAACTAGTAAGTAGTCAGAGGAGCCTGCAGAGCTAAGTTAGCACCACCTTCTAACTTCAAGTCAGGGACACATCATCCTCTCATTTGCAAGGCTTAACCCTAGACCCAATCACTACTTTGGGCTTTGTGTTCCAGGTATAGGGCAAAACCCGTATCACCCCAAGATCTATCTAATCATCTCATTCTCAAGGGGAGAGAAACGTGCTTTGCACAGTGAAGAAGGGAAGGCAGAGAGCCTAGTAATTGATTGGCATGGTCCGAGAAAGTTCCTGTCCTCCTCATGGAGATAGGAAGGAATAAAAGACCCAGGTTTATAGCTGCCTCTGCACATCTGTAATTAAGTTGCAACCTCACAAAAGCTGGGACCAAGAGCCTCAGCAGAGACAATAAGGAAACAGAGGAATTGTCCCCAAATGACTTTGTTATATCCTGAAAGGCTGGGAAAGACCAGGCCAAAGATAAAAAAAGCTCTGTCCTCCTCCAGAAAACTGGAATAATTTTATTCACTCTTTAAACATGAGAAATTAATGAATCTTGCTAAATACATCACTGAATGATGAAAAGGCAGGAAAGGCACAAACAGAAGAGGAAGAAAAGCATACACAAACTGTTCTGTTTCTATGTAACATCCCATTCATCTCCCAAGCATTACTGATAAGATCATAAGAATGATCAAGTTTCACCAGCTGACTTCATCAGATTGAGTTTGTTACAATATGCAAACCATGATCCTGGATGCAGAAACTCCGAAAAATTCAGGTATGAAAGGACCAAGTGACAACAGCAAGAAAAGGAATGAGTATCCGACACCATTTTTCATTTTCATTTCAAAAATCTAATACGTGTGTTTCATTGACACACCTGCTTCATTAGAGAACCAAATCACAAGCTGATCTCCAAGCCAAAGACTCCTACACGCCAGAGTAGTGGTACCTATACATGCACGGTTTCTTGGGTATCATTTGACGGCTCAGAAGATGCCTCTGCTAAGTCTTTTTACCTAAATGGTGAATGAGCTTGTTCTTAGAGGTGTCTCCTTCAACTTGGTTGGCACTGCTGTCCGTTCCTTTGTCTTGAGCTGTGTGAAATGCTGGTGCAATGCAGTGCAGCAAGTGTAGTGACCTTTAACCAACTCGCAACATCTGCAGCAACCAAAGGCTCCCATATTGCTCCAGCTGAGGAAGAAGGAGCATAAAGTTCTGACGCACAGTCCCAGAACTCATGGTGTGTCTTTGGAGGAGACAGGAGTAGGCTGTTTCATTTATCAGAAAACATTTCAACATGGATCGCACTATCAATCTGCCTGACAGGATCTCCAACAGCTCTTTGAAACTGTGCCAGCAACAGAGCTGGGTTACCTCTGGGCCAAGGCTGCTGCAACACCTGCTTTTTCTACTTACAGTGTTGGATGAACCATCTGCAGCTAATGCAACCCTGTTTGGGTTGGTTTTTCTGTTGTTGGTTTTTTTTTGCAGAGTGGGGACAAGAAATTCATCAGCATTCCTACACCGCTCTCATCAAGTCAACAGATGGCCTAGGTACTCTGTTATCAGCTGATGCAAATGCTAGCTTGAGAAGATCAAGGAAAATTATTACCCAGTCAGACTGAGCGTCAAGCACTGTTCCAGAAGAGTCAGGGCAGATCAGCCTTCATGCTGAGACATGCTAAACAGTAAAGCCCACCTTATCACTACTGAAGTGATCAGTATTTCGGCTACACAGAGAGAGACAAAACCCCACAGTTTCACTTTCACTACCACCCCTTGGTCTTCACCCTACGGAGAAAGGATGAAAGCACCACTGGGAGACTAGGAATCTCTGAAGATTCTTGCTTCTGTCAGGCTCTTTCCCAGCTTAAAGGACAGAATATATTTCAATTAGAGCTGATAATTTTTTGGTGCGCACCAAACAACACAGAAGTTTTCCAGCTCCTTTTGCAAGCCCTATTAGCTCCCTCAAAGATGGCTCAAAGGCTCTGTGCTGCGGCCGTGGTGGAACAGGACAGTAATAAAGGGCATTGCTGCATGCAGATAATAATCAGATAGATTTTACAATTATAAAACTTTAATTTCATAACAGGACTTTTTTATAACATCACGATGTGGTAGGCAGGACTCATCTGTGTCCCTGAACAGCCTTAACGAAGAGCGATGGTGATGTTTCCTTTCACAGCAGCCATGTCTCTTACTCCAATTTTTGGATCTGTTTGCACTCCAGTTCTTGCATACATGCTCTTACCTGAGCTCCAGTCTGGCTTTCTAGAGCAGACTGTCCAAACCAAGTGAAATTCCCAATGGGCAGAATTCCAGATTTGCATTTTGACTAATTAAGTGATATTAGGAAAGCTGTAAATGGCACGCAAGAACTGGCAGGCAAACTGCTTCTAATGATTAGACAATTGCTGTGTGGGGAGACCCAGCTGCAGCCTTGATTCACAAGCCCTGTCAATAGAAGCAATAATCTTTCCAAAATTGTTAATGCCAAGATATTCAAAAGTGGAATCAAGGAAATAAGGTAGGCGAGAACGTAAAAGGCTACTAGCTTCCACCTAAAGGAGACGGCTGCCCTAGCCATACAAAGGAGGACACACACAGTTACAAGGTGTATTTCCCATCAGGAGCCTAATTCTATCTGACCACTAAACGCTGAAGAATGAATTAGCACAATTGCAGCCAAAACCTTAAGGGCATGATAATATCCACATTCAGAGCAACGGCAGTGTAATAACGATGTAAACCAATCTCCTCAAACACAGGCACCCTGGACACCTTTTCTTGATCCCATTTTAGTTAAGGGTTGGACCTAAACTCTGAAGCATGGGGGGATTTTCACCTTAATTTTTATACTCGCTTTTTGTGCATGCTGTAGCAACTATGAATATATTTGATACCCATATGTAAATTCAATCTTTCTGAGCATTTCTGGCATCACAGATATCCTGTAGCAATGAGTTCCACAGAATCTATCGGACTTAATGATTTATCTCTTTCTTTGTAATGGCTTGAATTCACAAACAAGGCAAATTAAGTTGCAACTCCTCATTACAGTGAAACCCCTTGGGGACATACACCACTCTTCCAGAGTTCAAAAGCAGAAAACAGACCATCAGCCACCACAGAATCCCATAAAACCCCACTGATCCAAAATGCAAAAGATCAAGTAGCACAGCGATGCTTGGTGGAATGGCAAGAGGTCTTTGGTATCTGCATTGTGAAAGACTCAAAAGACGTGTCTATCTGGCACGTCACCTACTCCCTCTGCATGCTGCTTCTCCGCAGTGAACGAAAGACAGTTAATCCCTCAATGGAAGTGGGATCAGCTTCTTTGCATCTACCCTTCAGCAAGAGCATGAGCCCAGACACTTACTAAGCTGACGTACTGTAACTTAATATACAGTATCTGGTTCATCTGCTCATCTCTTACCTGAATACAGCATTTCAACTTCCCTAAAAAATTAAGAGCAATTATTTTTCCATCTTCAGTTCGGGTTTTGCAAGAACCACTACAGCTAAGGGGACAGTTACTTTGCACAAAGAGGTTTAGAAAAATACATGAAAGTTTTACACGTGCATTCAGAAAGAAAGAGCTACTTCCACTTTTCAGCACTGAACCATCACACACCTGGCTGCTCTGTCTTCCTGTCTCACCTTCCCCAAGCAGGCTCTCTAAGGAGGCACTAAGCATAAAAGGAGAGTTTAAAAGAAATGAGAAGTTTTCTTTGTCCTCTTAAGGAAACAATTATTGCCTTTACCCCACTTTCAACCTGGCCTGCTTGTTCTTTATTCTCTGGGCAGGTGCTGAGAGATGAGACTTTAGCAAGCATACTGATTAAAAACAAGTATCGGATGTTTGGAGACAATGTGTAATACGACAACCAACACTCATGGTATCACCTGAGAAACATAATTAAAAAGATTGCTCTGTGACTATGCTGTTATAATTTCAAGCCTTGCATTTCACAATTAAAAACCATTTGTCTTCTAAATGGCAGGCTAAATTCTGCTTTTTGCTTTGTCAGTGTGAAATCAAAAGCAATTCTCTGTAAGTTAACAGCACTATCTTGAATTTATGCTAGTAGAGAGTGAATTTGAATCAATATTCACTTTCTCTAAACTATCCTATAAATACTAATATATCTTCTCTCTTCATTTTTTTTTTTTTTTTTTTTTAGCACACACAAAGTTGATTAGAAACAAGTTTCACAGGCAAGAACAATTGTTGCACGTCACAACTTTGGCCATTTCCACAGGGTCTTAACTTTCCAGATGCTCCCGGATTTGAAATCTGGAGCTTTAGCCGTGACGAACCTGTGCAAAGTCTGCCCACTTTCCCTGAGCTGCAATTATATGATCCACGTTCAAATGAGCTTTCAAATCACTCTCAGACCATTTGTTCTAACACCTCCACATCCCCCAACCCCACACGTCCTGTGCATGAACTACCTACTGTATCTTGAGCTTGTCTGTACTATAATAGGATGAAGACTTAGGGAGGAGGAACGCCATCCAAAAGAGGTTCGTAACAAGGGAAAAAGTAGCTCTAACAGAGTAGCAACATCATAGGAACAGAGAGAGGTATTGTTGCAGGCCAAGTAATCCTGTGACACGCTACTGTCAGTCATAGCTTGACACCCTGCTGGGCCAGCAAGACATCAAAGCCCACCCCATACCATCTTACATGCTCTTTATCGCCTAATCAGGCTATTCTTCCTGAAATAAAGCTCCGTTAAATCCCCTGCTCACAGGGGCATTCCCATCCTGTTGCCCATCTGCTGGTGACGGTCAGCTGAAGCAGGAGGCAGATCAGTGGCCTGTCCCTGGTGGCTTCTCAAAGCAGGACAATGCGGTCGCCAACTTTTTATTTTAAAATCCCTTCCCCTTGCGTGTGGTTTTTTTTTTTTTTTTCCCCTACTCCAAGATACGTACATGTGCAAGAGATGTCACCAGCCCAGGAACAATTATGTGGATTAGTACTTTAATTGTATGGCTAACGTTTGCTAATGGAGTTTGCAGCAACAATTACATGGAAAGAGGCATAACTGATACTGATAAAAGAAAAAAGATTTTCCTCCTTTGAATTATTGCAGTGATTTTACTGGCAAGCCAGAGGTTCACATCCTGTTGTTGTGCTAGGGAAGATAGTGAGCCCTTAACATTGTAATCTCAAAAGGAAGGATTATCTATCCTGTGGAACCAACTCAAAGTAGCTAGGATCAGATGTACTGAGCACCTTCAGCTCCATTTCAAGCAGAGGAGATTCAGGGCTCTGCTCCTCTAGAAGCATCAGAGTCTCTCAAATTCCTTATGCAGGAAAGGAGTACCTAGGAACAGCCCTGTCCATACACCAAAGGGAATAGAGCTGTAACTCTAGGTTTGCTACTGACTCTTCCTGGGAGAGATCCCACGTGATTTTGCAGAAATGCTTTTGTTAGAACTACTTAAACCTACTGACAGCAGAGTAGAAGTTTGCAGAAGGATCATTTCTACCAACAGATCTGCCTTTTGATTTGGGTTCGTACTTATACAACTACAGTCGATCATGTAATTAATAACAACAACAACAAAAAAATACACTGCGGTCCTCTCTTTTCCTTCAAGTACTAAGCTAGTGTCTTCTTAGGGAGAGGAATAAGTAGTCCAAGCTGCAGCTGACCATTCCGAGAGGATGGACACAATTTGTCCCACGGTAAATCTGACAGCCAGGAAACTGCTGGTGAGACTGCAGGAGAAAGCCTACAAAAGACTCTCTGTCTAGTGTAGAAAAGGTGATAAAAAAGGCTAGAGGAGGCCACAGAAGGCCTTTAAAGACAGCAAGACACATACTTTGCTCCTGATGCAGTGTTATTTGTCAAGGCCAGGAAGGAAGAGCCTATCTTGCAAGATAAATCAGCGTTCATACAACCTTGCTCATAACAGACAGGACAGTCAACTTCAAATTTGAGAAGCAAAAATATTCATTTCTGTGGTATTTCCTCGATGCTTTTATCATCCCATGCCCTACACCAACAGCAAGTAGCTATGCACACAGCTTATCTGTGAGAGCCTTTCCCTAGACAGGACGAGGACAAAGAGTTGCTCCTGCAGTTGATCCTGAGCCAGGGATCATAGCTCTCTCTAGGACCATGGACTGGAAGTGTGGATGTGAATGGAAAAAATCTGGCAGTTTCTACTAAGGAGGTGCTTGGCCATGACAACAGGACTGCTGCTGGAGCTCTAGCAACCAAGACCTGCGCAGGAAAGAGAATCACTGCAACATATGGGAAGTCTCATACTTTGCTCTGGAACACTGCCTGTACCCTTCCTCATCCTTCAAGATAGCTCTTGAGTAAAGTATAAATAAATAAAAATTAGGCTATTTCTGCTCATTAGACTCGCAGAAGATGGTGTTTTTTCAAGTGCTCAGAAAACGGAAAAGCTGCAGCAAAACCCAGGCTAATCTATGTAGGTGCATCTCCACTTCGCAGCTTCCTTCAAAAAAAGAGCATCTTTATCAGAAGCCAAACCACAGTGAGCTCCTTGCTTTCGTTTGTTGTTTTTTGCTTTTTTTAAACTGAATTCCCACTCAAATGTTCAACCAAGTTGATTTAATAAATGTAATTTTTAGGTTCTCTAAAGCCATTAGAAAAAGGGGAATGAAACAACAGCTCAGAGAGCAATGCAACCTAAGCCAACGGCTCAACATGATTTAGCCTCTCAGGAATAATCACACGTGACCTGCCCACAGCAGGGGTAGTTGGACTAGATGATCTTTGAAGGTCCCTTCCAACCCAAACCATTCCATGATCCTATGATTCCTGGAGCAAGCACATCATCTTTGAGGAGCAAAGCACACCATAGCTTGTAATGTAGCGTTCCTCAGCTGAGGAACATCAAGTTGGCCTACCTTTTTGGTCTTCGTTTGGTTTTCTTCTTTGAGTCTGCAGTTGGAAGAGCAGTCAGGTTCTGGGGGGCATCTCTCAGGCCAAAGCTCTTGGCCACATGACCCAGGTGGAGAGATTTGATGTGGAAGATGTGCTTGAGGTTCCTGGGATAGGTGGTATAGGCACAAAGGAAAGACTGCAGCGCTGAGGGGAGGGGAAAAAAAAATAATAGTAAATTCTGTTTGCTACTGCATTTTTATATATATAAACTTAAAGATTCAGCTGTTCCAGCTGAAAGGACATTGGTCTTGTCCTTTGGGACACCTTCTGGTCAGCAGCTGGTAGAAAAGGTTGGTCTGTTAAAAATCTGTGAAGGTTGTATAGTACTAGTACAATCCCGAAAGGAGAAGGTAGGTGGTGGAGAAGCGTTAGAAACTGAAACAAAGCTACAATAAGTTGCGTTAGGTTTGCCTCTTGCAAGGATGCCCCTTCTGCCAGAAAGGGTGATATCTGTAGCACATCTTACAAGAAGAGTCACTGACAGCAAATGGTAGCAGATAAGGGGAGAGAGGGAATAGAGATACAGGGATGAAGAGAGGGAAAGAGAAGTATGGAGATGGCATAGGAGGACTCCTCTGATACTACAGTCCCAGTAGTCCATGCGTTTTTCACCAGTTACTAGCTAGTCCCTTATAAATATCTGAGAGCCAGCTGGATTTCCTCACTCATCATCTCACTGAGAACAGAGCTCACCTTCTCAAAAGGGAAAAAGAACAGAATTGTGTGCAAATTTCCCTTCACATCTTTATATTCCTGTAATGCCCTTCCCTCAGGGCTTGTTGCTCTAAAGACGATCATCCACTAATATGAACACTATCACTGCTCCTCCACTTACCCGGAACATTAACTACACCCAGGCTGTCCTCTCCGCTATGGGGAATAGAGGGACTTTTAGTAAGGAAACTCCACAGCTCAGAAAATGCCTCCCTTCAATCCCCTGCTGCTCCTCTGCTTGCTAAACCTCCTGTGTCCCCCCCAGCCCTCACTCCAACCACCGCCTACATCTTTCTCTCCCTCTCAACCCCTGACAGCAGCAAGCTCTAAACTCTAACCTCTCCTGCCCTTGCCTGTTGAGCCACCGGACCAGCAAGTTTGCCCACAGCTTAAGTCTAATCTCTTGGCAGCAGCCAGAGATTGGAGTTTATGAACAGTAATAAAAATGTCATTTTAGCAGATCAGCTCCTGGAAGGACCCAGGGAATCCATCAAAGCTCTGTTTACTGAGTAAAGCGAACTCCTTTGCCCAATCGATGAGAAGAAAAGATTGAGTTTTTTGCACGTTCTTCCCAATTTCACAACGTTACTCTTTTAGAGGCATCTAAGCATCAGGAGACCTGTGTTTTCCCAAAGAGAATGCTAAATTGCAAATATCCGACCTTGGTGTATCATCTGAAGGTCATCCTTCTGACAGCTTATAAACCACTTCAAATGCTCTCAAAACCCCTATTCTGCTGGGTTTCTTTTCCATAAACTTATTTCACCTGCTATGAGAAGGTGTAACTCTTCAAAAGGAAGAATACAAACTTACTCATGCTCCGAATTTGGTCCCGTTGGAGCTAATATAGCTGTCTTTCACGCAGCATTTGAAATGGTTGATACTAAAGATTCTGTTATTATGAAGGCTGAGCTCACTTTCCACAGTTCTTCAGGTAGGAAAGGCTGCTGGTACTAACTCCCCAGATCAGTTAGAGAATGAAAGCATCAAAGGCCCCTCTCCTCCCAAAGTCCTGAGAGACAACTGCCAGATCCAGTCCTGAGTTAGAGCATGCAAAACCAGGGAGAGCTGCAAGACACCAACCCAAAGCTGAATCAAGAATTCTGCCATACCAGCAGGTCGAAACCTCAGCTCATGTAACTGTCTTACCTCTGAGGAGCTCAGAGCTGCTAACGTTCGTTACAGCACCCATGAGACTTAAATGAAGACCTTTGAGGGTGTGATTCTTTTTTAAATCTTTACTGTCAGGTCTTTAGACCTCTCAGTGTTGCCAGAGTCATGTTTTCTAGCTTTTATGTGCTATTGTAGTGGCCAGATATTAAAAACTGAAAAAAAAAAAAGCAGCTTTAAAGTTGAAAATGTTTTACAATTTTGTGATCAAAGAGAGAGCGCTTTATGAAAACAACTCAGAAAGACTGGTAACAGTGCTGGTCAGGCCACAATTCACATAAAGGGTACCTCGTCTTAATGCCACAGAGACAAATTGCCTGAGCCGTTACAGTTTTTGCCACACCAACATGAGTCTAAGGCAACGTATACTGGCCTGGAGTGGGATTCAGACTTCCACTCATATAAGAGAGTGGATTTAGGTTGGTCCTTTGCACCCGTGCATCCCCACTTTTCTATAGGAAATGTAAGTGTGGAAAGTCAAAGGGAAAAAAAAAAAAAAAAAAAAAAAAGAACATTACAATTAATGGAGGTTAGATAGGTTGGTTTGTTGTTTTTTTCAAAAAGGGACAAGAGGGTAATGAGATATGAAAGTGAGACAGGTGACATAACCTGTTTACCATGCCCTCAGCTGGCAGCCAGTTCCCAGCGCTGGCCCCAGAGCGCAGCCTCAGCCGCGTGGCTGGATAAACCGGTGGAGGCATTTTGCCAGTGTACAGAGGATGAGGGAACAGGAAGGAAGAATGCACCAAAACCGCCAGAGATTCAAGCACCATGCCACAGCAGTGGGCTCCTGCAACTCCGCGGTCCCTCTAGACACAGGGGTGCTGAGGACAGAAATGATGAAGCAAAATGCTGAACTATTGGCTATAGTTTATTGGTTTAGTGGTGGACTTGGCAGTGCTACATTAATGATTGGACTCGATAATCTTAAAGGTCTTTTCCAACCTAAATGGTTATATGATTCTAAAATGGGGAAACACGGAGGAGAAAAACAGGGTTTGCTTCCTTACCCTTTCTGTAACCCCAGTGGCAAGAAGGATCAGTCTTCTGAGCTCTATCTGTCCCCACACCTCCAAAACAGAGTACCTGTGACCATGCAACCCTTCGGATGAGAGTCCTCCATTTCCCAAAAGGGGCTCCACACTTCATGAGATTTGTCCTTCAGGTAGCAGGGCCCAGCTGTACCCCTCCTCCCACCCATCTCACTGGTGGTCAGTCAATCAAGTTTGAAGGGCAGAACCTGCACTGAACCATTTGATTTGAGGTTGGAAAACACAGGACCGAGAGGCAGAAGGGGTGAGTGGGCAGGGAGCCACTCGCCTTTTCAAAGTGGGCTGCAGTGAAAACACTGCTTATTAACATTGACTAGGTCAGAAAATGGGAAAAAAGAGAAAAAGCGAGAGAAACAAATGCATCTCTGGCACAGTTTCCAATTGATTGTCTGCCATGAAAGCAAAAGCCAGCTGACATGTTAATTATTCATGATGCCTGGCGCAGAGGGGAGGAAGAGGGGGCTTATGGAAGCCACTCAGCAGTGGAAAATTTGCATATGTAGATAGCAGAGTAGGAAAAAGAGGTGGAGTGCTCCTGTACAAGATAAATGAGATGCACAACATTTCAGCATTTCCTGATATATTTTCTGTACTTCTTGTCTGGGGCTAAAAAAGTTACTAGTGCCGAGGTCATCAACAAGTGTGTGTGTGAGGGGGTGTGTGTGTGTGTGCACAGTGACACAGACTGTCTAGAGAGAGGCCACAGAGGTTTTCTAAGTGTGACCAGAGCCATTCAGTTGTTCTCCCCATTGCAGTCATTTCAGGTTAGAAGTTCGCATGGGATATAAGGAATCCCAGGGAAGCAACAAGAAGCTCATCCATGCAGAGTCAAAGATTTGATCATATTAGTCATGTGCTTTGAGATTGTGGACTTAAAAGTGCAACTATAAAAGTAATTACACCAGTCAAGTAACACAACACACCTGAAAACGGGTGCAAGTCACTTGTGTAGCAAGCGTCTAACACTTTCACTGTAGGACAAAGATATTTTGAAACCCTGAGGAAAAAAAAAAAACCAGCACTGCAACTGTCAGGGTGTGTGTGTCAGAATCAGTACAGTGACATGCAGTGACAGGCGGTAGAGCAAAGAGTGAAACAGCAGGATTTCAAATACCTTGCCCATCAATATGGCCATGCATCAGTAAAAACATGCAGAATAATTTGGGGTAGGCAGGTAGTTATAGTACGAGCTGTAGTCGTTCTACTATGTCATCACCTAACAAGTTAGTACAATATTCAGAAAAAAACCAGCACCTTTGACCTCTTGAACAATCACTCCTTGTGATTCCAAATCAATTTTAGTGCTGAATTTAATTTCTATCTTGAGAACAGCCTTCCCTTATCCAGTTTCTATGATGACACTGTACAGCTCAAAGGTCAATTTTCCCATTCAGTTTCGGACCCTTTAGTATGTGATTTACGTAGTTTAGCACACATGGTACACTTGTACCGCACCTGTATGCACACACACATACAGCAGGTATATATAATAGTAAACAGAACAAAATTCCTCTCATCCAAACCTAACTGGAAACATTGCAGAACTGAAATCAACAGGACTTCTATGCAAGCTTAGAGAGCAGGATTTGACTCAGATCAAAGTGACAAATGAGGTAAAAAAAGAAAACGAACTAGAAGGGAGACGTGGGAGGAGGAGACTCAAAAAAAGGGGAAAGGCTCTAGTCCTATATATTGTGAGCAAGAGTGGTTTAGTCTCTTGCATAAAGAGTTTGCATTTTGTGGACTTGTCTCAATATTTAATAACCAAATCCCAAGTAATTGTCAAGGACCTTTGGAGCTCAACTTCCGGCATTCCCTGTACAACGGCCATTCAGTTTTCAGGTGCACCCACATCAGCCTTACTGGGCAACAGACCAGTACACAGAAGAGGGGAACCTACATTGCACCATCTTTTTGGCTCCTCTCAGGAGACTGCTTAGTGTTTATTTTCCTACCACATCCCTGGCAAGTTTTTCATCTTTCCCCCAAATCCACCTTCCTCTGGATTTTCCAGACTGAGAAGCAGAAGGGAAGAGTTTCTTGTACCGCTCAATGACAACTGCTGTGCATCCTGCTTGGCAAAGATGGAAGATCAAATCCCAGATTTGCACCTAGCTACGATGATTACTAAATCCATCCCAGTTTTTCTTCTTCCTGCCTTTTTGAGTAGCTGACCTCTCTCTCATTTTTCTCCCATCCCACACAACAACCTCCAGTCTAAGATCCTTGCCTGTTAAGAGTTGCTCCCAAGGCATCTTATCCTGTCTTAGAGGCTTCAAATTCATCCCTGGTATAAACTGAAAGCATCTAAAGGGTATTGCACCAGGATGTGGTTAAGCAGGTCACCCATAACCTTCCCAGCGTAACACACATAATCTATTAGCTCATGTGATTGGGTCAGGGCCCTCAGATGTGAATCCTATCGAAAGCCAAGATTAAGCCTCATTTGCACTAATATGGGAATGCAAGAAATTAACATTTAATATCATCACAAAGCCTTCTGGGCCCATCTCAACCCCCTACAGAGCCCAACGTCCCCAAAATGTCTCTTCCAGGCCTTTTCCCTGAAGCTCTCCCCCGGAAGAAAACCTTGGCACTTATGAGCCCTTCTGGAATAAACTTAAAAGAAACACACTGACCTTTCTTTGCCCACCGGACAGTCCCCTCACTGGAGTGAACGTAGTTTTCAAATTTTGTCTGCAAGACTGTGGCCCGCTCCCGGACTTCCTGAGGGTCTATGCCACAGGATTTCTACAAGGGCGGTGGGAGGATTAGAGGAAAGAGAGAATTTGAGTCAGGAATAATGAAGCAGTTTACAATAGATTTAATAACAGTAAAATCACACAGTAACCACCCAGGGGCCAACAAAGGTAATCCTCTCAATATTACTAGAGAAAAAAAAATATAGATAAAGATGTTAAAGTCAAAGCAGTCAGTGAGCGCTGTGTGGTGAGGAAAGCAAATTAGTTTTAATTTTGTGTTTTCTAACATCTATCATGTATCTTTTTCCCTCACTTTTTTTTTTTTTCTTCCCCCAGGTTCAACAGGCCAGCTACCACTGCTTGTTTCCATTGGAGTTATTTGGAATAATCCTCCAGTCTCTATGCTAACAGTTTCAGACTGATGTTGCAAGTTTCCCTGTGCAGTTCCCCAAAACGCTTGGCCTGTTCTTGGCACTCGTGGGGCAAGAGATCTACGTTCACCCCCAAGCTCCAGAAAACAGATCAAAATCAGTATTTGTGAACAAAGCCAACTAAACGAACTTCTCACTATTGATGCCTACATGAAGTTTTCTCACTGTCAACCAGTCATACTTAACTGTAGCTGCTATCACATGGTCCCTCTAGAATAAGACAAGCCCCTGGCACCAAAGGCAGGGCAAAAGAACCTTCTTCAGACCAAAAGGGCAATTTTGCATGTGCTCAAGCTTTCCCAGAATCAGACTGCAGAATGCAGTTCAGGAAATGGAACACAAACATTCCTAGGAGTAAGCTGTTACTGTGAGGAGAAAAGAGGCTGTCTCTCTCTCTAAAGCACCCAGGTAGAGAAAGGAAACGTGGACAAGAAAACAAGAGAATTTTTGATGGAAAGTTGACAGCAAAGTGCAAAGCCAAGCATCCGTGGATGTTAACCTCTCACCAGAAAGGGCCACGGTTCCCAAAAGCTACTTAGATAGGAACCAGCACCCAAGTCTAACAGTGCCAGATCCAAGGTATTAGCTCGACACTGGTCAACCCTTCCACCCGACCAGGGCTGACTGAAAACAAACATCCAGCTCCCACAATTCTGTACTAGTCCTGTGCCAAGGCAACAATTCTGTTGTTCCTCCCTGGTAGATTTGCATGCTAATGCTGTAAACCCCTCCTTCCCCCATAGCTGCAAGCATCACCTCTGCACTGCTGCCAGTCCAGGGAAACCATACCACACTGACACTGCAAACCTCGGTGATCGTGGAAGCCAGGCAATGCTGCTGGCACCCCACACAAAGTGTTTTGCTGACCCAAATCTGCCATTCTATAGCCTAACAGCAAATCTGCCCAGAGACAGACCTTGAATGTACTTTAAATTCCCTGCACAGTGCCCTCTTTTGAGCTCAGGATCCCACAGCTTCCAGCTACTGGGTTGTTCTTCAACGAAGCAAACACACACGGGGACTAGAGTTCCTCTGCACTTGCTACCTGGACTAACTGTTCATCTGCACCTGCAAAAACAACGGTGGGTATTTTAAGGCTACATGAAGAGTCTCCCAGAGTTCTGGTCCCTGCTATCTGTCTCCCAATCCACTTGAGAAAGACTCACAACACAGCTTGTTTCACAGACGCCTTTTAGTTTGACTTAATGTGCACCTATTAATCAGTTGAGACAGTCTCCAGCCGAGGGGCCTCTCTAAAGGTTTAATAAACTACAAGTGGTGCTGCCTCCCCGAAGTGGACACTTGTCGCTGTGACTAACAAGTTTCCATTGACGTGAAACATAAAACTTTCTCGCCCCGCCTGCTCCTCCTAGCCCCCATCACTTTCCTTTTGTTAAGCCTCCTGGCAGCACAAAGTGTCACCTTCCCAGCGTTTTTTAATATGAATGTGAAATTAGTGAGGTTTGCCCTTTCCCCTGGCGGACAGAATCCTCTGTTATTAAAAAGTAAAGCACTTTAATAATGAAAACTTTTTCTCTTTTTCCTGTGTTTTAACTGTTTAAAATTAATGAGAAGGGCATAACGGTTGTCAAAGCGATATTGAAAGCCGGGTAGCCAGGACCAAATAAGCACGAAAATCCCTCCAGAGTGTTAAATAAACAGTGCTTCAGCCCCCTCTGAATCCCTCTGGTGGTTATTGTATACATTCTGTAACAGCACTCAGAATAGATCTGAGCACCGGGGAGGCAGAAAGGTTTCAGAATTCCAATAAAGGCCTCAAATTAAAGACAGCCTGGTGCGAATTCCAGGAGAAAATTAAAGAGACCTCAAGCTTAAGTGACAGGTGACTTGCTTCTGTGTCACAACTGTCAGGGGATTTAGTGATAATATGGCAATATATTACAAAGGACTTTTCTTATTCCCCCCTTTAGGTTTCAAAATGAGGCATCTCTTCTTCCTGGTGCTGGGGGGGGCGGAGGAGTGGGAAACAGTAAGACAAAAATGAGGGATAAAAAACTAGGTGCATAATTTGCAAAGTGTGAGGTCAGTCCAAGAGAAATAAGTGAAAAAAGCACAAATGGCAGAAAACATAACGTACTCGAAAAATAGCTTCTCCCCTCCTCCCGTCTCCACCTTGTCTTTTATCCCCTTCAGCCCCTTGAGACAGATCTTATTTTAAAATTGCCCCCTAATGGGCACAAAAAAAAAAATCTGTTTGATTCCTGCCTTCCAGGGAGGTTCATCTTAAAAAAAGAATATATATAATAACAACAATAATAATAATTTCTAAATTTAAAACTGACTCGGAGCCAAACTGTGAAAATAAAACCCGCACACCATGTGAGTGTCTGGACAGATCAAATAAAACAGTGCTACTGGAAGTGCACTGGAAGCCATCCTGTATGCTTTATTCACACAAGCAAGCTTTAATCCTGCTCGTATCCTGGTTCGGAAGAACAGGACAATTAATTTGAGATCTTACTCATTTTCCCAAGACCCAAAAGATAAAAGCCTACCCCAGAGGTTTGATTGATTTATTCTCCATCTAGATGAATTTGTTACATCTGCTAAGTAAGAAGCATTATTGCCATTACGGAGAAATAGTGGGATAGTAGAAGTTTTTCTACCTTGTGTTTCCTTAAAGCCTATTCTGGCAGATCCCTAACCACTAGCATAATGACTGTGATCATTAACAGTATCCATAAGAAGAAATGGGTCTGGATGCAATGCTATTTAACCAGTTCAAGGCATCAGTGGGACTCCTCCAAATGAGAATTACACTAGGAAAACACATACTTATGTCTTTCAGAAGAAGGAAACTTCTGATTATAAAGACTGCAGCTTTTAGGTTGGAGAGGCTGGGATAAGTACTGAAAGCTTCTGATTTCATTAAGAGAATATGTGAATGGGAGAAGGAACCGAGACACAATAAAACTAGACTGAGGTAGAAAAGTTCTTTCTTAAAACAGTAAGAAAAAAAAAGGGGGGGGGGGGGGGGGGGGGGGGAGGTATACAGC